AGCCAATTACAAAGAATCCCTCATAATGCTAAGATCTTTATCATTACAAGCAACATAACAATTTAAGCATATTTGTGCACAATGCTCATTATTTCAGGACTCCTTATTGCCAGATGCGTGAAGACCAGGGAAGGGGAGAGTGATGGTCCATAAACCTTGCAGCATCAATACTATGTCGATTGAAAGCACGATCCGACACTTCATTTCAGTCGAATATCACGAGAATGATTCCCTGAGGTTGCGAGTTCTAACAGCAGGTTGTGTTGTGACAATCTAAATCTATATTGTTGCTATTAATAATGATAATAAGAATAATACTGATAATAACGAAATGACTAAATACATAATGCTGAATAATATACCAATAAATGACTAAAATATAAGATAACACTTAATTGTCACTCGTTAAGGTACTCATTCTCATGTCTGTCTTGACATTTGCGATACACCAAATTGGCTAAGCAAACTAAGGTGAGGAAGACGGTCCTTCTAACGGAAAACCCGGGATGCTGTTTTCGGTCCACGGAGTCAGAAATCGATGCTTCCAAAAACCCAAAACTCAAACGTCCATTTCAAAAGCGGAGTGTGGTCTCGTAATGTGATCGGTTATGAACTCAGGAAAAATCAGTCGGCACAAATTTAAGCCTTGGCACCAGTATCGGATGCTAAAGACACCAGATACGTGCATGTTTTGTCACAACGTAGAGATCGTTGTTAGATATTTATCATTAGTCAGTTTTATCAGTTTATTATTAGTCAGTATATATATATATATATATGTATATATATATATATATATATATATATATATATATATATATATATACTGACTAATAATAAACTGATAAAACGGACTAATGATAAATATCTAACAACGATCTCTACGTTGTGACAAAACATGCACGTATCTGGTGTCTTTAGCATCCGATACTGGTGCCAAGGCTTAAATTTGTGCCGACTGATTTTTCCTGAGTTCATAACCGATCACATTACGAGACCACACTCCGCTTTTGAAATGGACGTTTAAGTTTTGGGTTTTTGGAAGCATCGATTTCTGACTCCGTGGACCGAAAACAGCATCCCGGGTTTTCCGTTAGAAGGACCGTCTTCCTCACCTTAGTTTGCTTAGCCAATTTGGTGTATCGCAAATGTCAAAACAGACATGAGAATGAGTACCTTAACGAGTGACAATAAACACCTTGGTACCATGATTGGCACTTAGTAAAGCGCAAATACCCCGCGTTAGCTGCAGAACTTCTCTATAGGCCGTTGAAGGGGACTTAGATGAATAAGAATACATTTGTGTTGTGGCGATCCTAAGGCATTCACGCACAACCCAGCGTGTTCAGCCAAAGGGTTGCAGTTACCTGCGCGTCGTTGCACTGGTCGGACTCGAGCCGGGGCTCCTCGCCCTGCCAAATCCCGTCGCCTATCCTCGTGTGACTTTGTTTTGTATGGGAGGAGTGAGAGAAGCCAGTGCACGCCAGGGGTGTATCACTCACCCCGCCATTTCGACTTCAAACAGGACCGAGGGGCGTGCTAGAGAGCAGTGAATCTGTGACCTTCGTCAGACGTTGGGACATAGCGGTGTGCCGTGAAGGGTGTCCTTGGCTGTGCCGTGAATGAGGCCGTCCTCCGACCAGCGGCTCATGGAGATCTGCTCCGCCTCCTCGAGACGCTCGTTGTGCAGAGCCTGGCGCAAATCATCCCCGCCGGCCGGCCGTCTCTCCGCCGCGATCGAGGGGGGACCGTCACCGCGTCGCTCGTCAGATCACCCCCGGCCAGCCTCTGTCCGGGCGGCTGCGGGCCGCCGTGTCACGTGACCGCACTGACGTGACTCTGTAAAATTGCAATTCCTTGAAAATGACTTTCAGAAATCGTCGAAGCTATGACCTTCCTAAGATAACCTACCGTTGATTTCCTTCTCGTTTTTTTCCACCGATTTGGAGGCTCGTCCCCGCTAGCGCTGACGGATTTCCGACACGGTTAAGTTTACATGTGCGTGCTCTAGTATTGCTTGATAGTTTGCGAATCATGAATAACAGAAAAACGCAAAGTGTGTAATAAATTTAGTGTTTCTAGAAATGCGAAATCGTCGCCCAGTTTGGATTAAGGTACCCCAAATCCGCACTTGGAATCTGTGTCCAGGCATTCCTTATAACAGCTTCTCATCCTCCTCAGCTAGCGCCCCCACATGCTGCCAGCTTATCAGTCGGCAACTAGTCGGCTTACTGGCAAGCGGAAGACAAACCTTGGTGGCAAGAATCGACCAGTTAAAGCCGGATGCAGCCGGTTTATATCGCTCGCGCGTCTGGGCAGATGTTGCCAGATGTCCCCAAACTTTGCAAATTAGCTGTAAATACTGGTATTTTGATGCGTGATACCGCATTTCTTTGAGCGCATAAGTTGATCTTTTTGCGATGTCATGAAAAAGTAAAGGGACAAATCGGTCGACGTCATTGGAAGGCTGGAATGTTGTAAAGGCCGTGCTGTACAGCACATGTATTAGATCAACGGCCATTGTACGAAAAACATAAACGCAACGTAGCAGATCTGAATTTGGGTTATTCTCACTGCCACAAGAGAAAGGAAATGTCAAAGCAGTTTTGGTGCGTCGAACAACATTACCGTGGACTTATTTCCTTCCGTTCGCAAACACGTGACACACACGAATAGTGGCTCAAGAGGCAACATAAAGATACGCACGCGGTTCGAGCTCCGTCCATAGTGAAGACCCGTAAGCAGGTTGTGAGCGTGTCGTGTTCGGGCGCAAGCATACGTGAACTAAGAAAGAAACGCAATAAAATTTCTGGCGTAGCCCCGACGGGAATTTCTTGCGCAGTTCTGATACTGGGTGAGAAAGATGAGAGGCCGCTACGCAGACGTTCGATATGGTCGAATTGCCGAGTGTCAAATTTTTGGTCTGATAAACGGGTCGCTGTGACCATTATTTGTTCAAAATGACTTTCCATGGAACACTCCGTGAGTAAAAACCAGCTTTTTTAACGACGAAAGCATAACAATTACTTTTTTGCTACAGGAACGCTTCAAATAACACTTTACCACAATTTGTGTGGGAATAGGTCCCAACGGACCCGTGAACGCAGTTACCACATCTTCAACGGCTAACATAAAGGCAAAACACCACGCGTTTTGCCAGAACAAAGTAAATATTCAAATTATTGACAGCACAAGTACACAAAACATGCTACTTCCAGAAACGAACACATCTCCGCATCAGTGCCCGCACATCGTGACACTGACAACAAACCTATACCAACGTCGGCACCGACCGCGAGTCAGTATGATTGCCAGACATGCGCCAGTCCCAGTAGCAGACACACAAATGCGCCATGAGCGGACACAAGCAACTGCCGGCAGCAGACACAGGACCGTTTCCAAATGCGCGGTTCCCTTTTCCACACGCAAGTCAGCTCCGAGAACATTTTAGCGGTAGTTCCAGACGCGTGTCAGGACCAATCAGAAAGACGCGCTAATAAAAGCACGAAGTTCCACCAATGTCGTACCAGGCACGGTACAGGAAAACCCACCAGTCACGTCCAAACCATCGCATCGTTGAATCGCAGCCAATGTCGTAGAGCATCGTGACGTTGGTCGCAAAGCAGAACAGCATCCTCACTAACAGCCGGTGACATCAGCCGACCCAACTTTGCTGGGACTAGGGCCGATATGTCCTGACTGAATCCGACGCTGATGCTGACAATAATTAAGACCGTGATGCAAACTAGGTTCTTTCGCGAACATAGCGGCAAGCATCGTTTGTGACATCGATAAACACTCAACACCCCGCTTCGGCATGAGATCCTGCACTGATTCAGAACATTACCATTCACACTGTCTCCATGTCACTGCGTCGGGTGACACCCTCGCTAGCCTTGATCATAGACAGACATTCGTGGAGTCCGTGGAGACACGTATAACGTCTACTGGACTGCGCCACGCGCATACGGGGCTGGCGCGTTCCGCGAGGTGACATCCGTATCCCAGACGCCACCTGTCGAGCGCTTGCGGACATCGTCACCGAAGAGGTGGGACGGCTTTACGCATCTGCGTACCGGCTGCTCACATCACCAATCCAACGCCAGGGAGCCGGGCGAAGTGAAGCCTGAGGACCCCCCACATGAGGAGCGTCGACTCGGCGGTGTCGCGACGGTGATGCCGTCGTCTTCACGTCTGCTCATCCTGTGTGTCAGTCCTGCGTCCAGCTCGCTCTGGGGTAACGGACCTGAACTGGGGACATATACGGGCTGGCGTCTCAATGGGATGCTGCCAACAACAGCCACTGTCGGCGTTTAGCGCGCTCTGCTCAGTCGGGCTCCGTCGGCTGGACGCGGAGCACGCACGGCGTGGCGAAACGTCGCCCACCACACGCTTACCCTGAGACGCGATCTTCGCGTCACAAAGCGACGCCCGCCGTTACGGATCATCACATCATCACATGGTTTCCGTGTGATTATGTGAGATCATCATACCGTCCGCCACAGATCATCACACCGTCAAGCAGTGCCCGCTGTGGCGGTGGCTCCCACCACCGAACAGTGCTCATTATAACGGCACATCACACTCTCGAGCGGTGCCCCTGCGACAAATCATCGCACTATTACATGGCTGGTATTACATATTACATGGCCCCGCAACGCTCACCTCACTACTTAACGGTGCTCCCTGGGACAGATCATCGCACTATTATCCGGTGCTCCCTGCGACAGATCATGACACTACTAAGCGGTGCTCCCTGCGACAGATCATCGCACTATTACACGGTGCCCCTGCGACAGCTCATGACATCATCCCCGTGTGGGAGATCACGACACCATCAAACAGCGCCCCGTCACGGATCACTGCGCCATCGAATAGTGCCGACAGCGGATGATGACCGCACCGTCGGACGGTGCTCCTGTGACGGGCACGCTCACCACCGGGCGACATCAGCCTCTCGGCGGCTCGTGCTCCCGCGCGGCGTCGGCGCTGGCAGCCCGTCACATGTCCACGGTCTCGTCGGTGCGGTGAGAGACGGCTGAGGCCGGCGGCGCGAGCAGCTGGTGGCCATCGGGCGGCTGGAGGCCGCGCCGCTGCGTGCTGCGGTCCAGCCGCTTCAGCGGCACGTGTGCGCCGTTAGCGCCGCCAGCGAGGGTGACGTCATCGGCGCCGTTCCAGCCGGCATCGCGCCGCCGCAGCAGGCGCGAGCAGAAGAGCCGCAAGAAGAGGCGGCGGAATTTCTGGCCAAAGGTGCAGTAGATGATGAAGTTGGAAGAGGAGTTGATGTTGATGAGGAGGTTGCTGAAGTCAGCGATTCTTTCCATTCCGTCGTCGTTTACGATCTGCATGCCGCTATTGTTGAGCAGCTCGATGATGTTGATGACGAAAGAGAGGCTATTGCAGACTATGAAGAGGAGCACGATGGCGAACAGCATGGTCGCCAGACCGATCTCCTTCTCCTGGCGCCGGCTCAGCAGCTGGCGCATCTTATTTGCGATGCGCACGTTCTTGTAAATAAGGCTGTTGAGCACCACCAGTGTGCCGAAAGGAATGCAGTACATCACCACCAGGTACATCCACATGATGTACACCTCGATGTACACCAGCTCGCTGCGCAGGTCCGTGGGACACGCGACAAACCCGACCACCGTCATGTTTTCTCTCAGATCCAGGATCGGCCGTGCTTCCGTCTCGAAGAACTTGGGCACGTTGTAGAGCACGACGCATACACTGATGACGATCATGTAGAGCCGGGCGCGGCCGTACGTGCAGATGTAGCGCGCCTTCAGCGAGTGGCACACGGCCACGTAGCGCTCGATGGTGACGGTGACGGTGACGTACGTGCTGCCCGTGTGCGCGATGGCAGCCAGCGGGTACAGCCAGGGAGTCATGTGTGGGATGAGGCGGCCGCTGAGCGCGCGTAGTCGCGGCGAGTACTGACTCAGCGCCGGCACGCCCCACACGAAGATGGAGCAGACAAGCAGCAGGATGTCGAACGTTGCCAGCCCGATCAGGCAGCAGTTGATGGAGGCGCGCATCTGCTTGCGCGACAGGATGTAGATGGAAACGGTGTTGCAGACGATGCCGAGCAGGTTCACCACGTTCATCACCACGCCCTGCAGCACGAAGAGATACAGGCTCGGTGGCATGGAGCACGGCAGCACCTGACCGCACTTCTCGCAGAGCCGGCGCGTGTCATTCCATACGTCTCCCATGACACTCAGCATCGCTTCTTCCTCCATGATGGCCATGCCGACCACGACCGCTGCTTGGCCAGGGCACTCGCACCGCGGAACTGTTTCTAGGTGGAGTAGTATCGAAGACACCCAACGCACATCGCGACGAATCAGGAGCGTCACGAGGTCCCCTCGGGGGAGCGGCTCCGGAGGAGCAGTGCCTTCTCTCGGTGAAACCGTTCCTGCTTTCTTCTCGGTAAGTGGCTCGCTGGGGGTGTCTCTTCTCGCGAGGGACGGAGGATGTCACAGAGGACGTCCTTTTGTTGCCGAGGACGACCTCCTCCCGGTGCGGTGTCTCCCGCAATGTGGATCCTCCGCGCTCGCCCGGGCTGTCCTCAGGCCATCAGGGGCGACGAAATGGTATGCCGAAGACTGCGCGCCGACTGCGTGACGTCTGCGCGACGTCCAGGACCGCCTCACGGCGCTGGCGACGTGGCAACTTCCGCCACTACGGCACCTGAGGCAGAACGCACTGTTTTCAGCCGCAGCGAAACAATGACCCAGCCCACACTGTACAGATGGCGAACGGGATGTCGGTGGGAGGGCGTCCCGGCGGAGAGAGAGCCGGAGCACGTGTGTAACACAACACCTGCAGACACGGTTCGTTGTCACATTTCAGCTGAAACACCTCCTGTCAGTTCGCTTGGAGCAATAGTGACAATACTGAACAGCCAGTGACAGTGTGGGACGCAATTTTCATGACGTGTGCTGAGACGTACTTTATTTATATTGCAGACGGTTAGATGTTTTATATTTTTTATATAAAATATATATTTATTTTTATATATTTTATTTCATTTTTTATATGTCATCTGGTTTATATTTTTAGTATTGTCGTTGTCCATTTTCTGAATAACTGGCACGTCTAAGCATGGCTAAACGCTGATATGAAGTAAATGTGCAAGCAGAAAAAAAACTATTGTACTCATCGCTTGAGAGCCGTTTGATTATCGACAGGATCGCTTCGACTTCGTCTTAGACCGAAAAGTGAAACCTCGGCAGAGATATTGCCCAAAATTGGGTCGCTCTCGTTCACCGCGGGCTGTCAGCAAGTTCACGCATACCATTCGGAAGTTTACAGGGATACGACAGTTAGACGGAAATGTCGGCATCATTCTGGTTCAGCTGTGATAGGCTGGCTGGGATCGATGTTAGCTTCAGCCACGGGGCTTGAATAGTTGGAAGAACACCTGAGGCGGGCAGGGGGGGGGGATGGGTGCAGCAGGCGACACGCACTCGCTTGACGGTGGATCAGGGCAACAAACGGGGACCACAGCTGTGACATTCATACAGTCGGTGGCAGAGTCATCACCTGATATTCAGATACTGGTTCTCGACATTGTCAACACCGTTACCCCGATCCACGTTGCCTAGATATGTTAAGCATATTGTGGCGAGTCAAGGTAGACATTACTTTACAACGTTACTACCCGTATGTTCTGTCAATCAAATAAGATGCTTTAAGAGCAATGTTCCAAATCGCTGTTTTGATCATTTTTCGTTGTGTTCACGCCAGCCTTTTGTCTCCAGTCACTCCCTAATTGTACCAATGTCACGACATATTCGGTAACTATGAATCGATTGGACATTTCTTTTGCTAGTGATCGACATAAGCCTGCAGCCACCCCCCCCCCCCCCCCTCCCCTCCAAACACCAATCCCAGGATCCCATAGCACGAAAATCCACGAGATTCTAGATCTGCCCTTAGGATCAGGCACATGTGAATTATTTCGACACATCGAAACCAGTTCCCAGACGAATTCCACTGAGTTAAACGGGAATCACGTGCATTGTGCGAGATGTTTTTTGTCTCCGTAGCAGTATTCCTCGCATACTAGGAGTGCTGCCTCGGTGTAGGGGTACTGTGCCCCTCCAATGAACTTTTGTTGCCTGGGAGGCTTGATTTTACTCAATCCAGGAATTTTCTGGGCCATGATGTGTCTGGTAATGGTGTTTCATGACCAAAGGGCCTCACTCCAGCCCTGAACACTCCTTTAACAACTCGTCATTATGAGTTTGGAGCTCTTTTTTGGTACTAGCTGATCTTCATTACACCAGAGGGCGATAGCCAGACGGTATCAATTTATCAAACAAAATTTCGCTTGACCGACAAACTCAACGGAAACTAAAAGCCGATGATGTCACAGTAAGAAATTGAAAACCAGTCATGCCCTCAAACCAAACGCTGAAGCTCTCTCACGCTTTCCTCTTGAACAACTCCTTCAACCTCAAGTGGCATTTTATGCGACGCAGAAGAGCATGGAGCACGTGGCGGCCCCTGACGGGCTGGATCTTCAAATCCTCAAGTCCTCGTAAATCTGGCACACTGGACTTCCAGATTTGTGCATGTAGCGACGCCTGCAGGCAGCTGTTTGATCAAATGCCCCAGCCGGTCCCACAACTGCACAGCCAACTGAGAACAGCAAGTCATCACGACCATGCGCTGTTGGACAGGCACGTTTTTTTTGCCACCTCAATCAGGCCCACAGATGTCGCGTGAAGGACTGCGCCGGTCGACGATACAAACACCAACGAGTAGATCGTAGCACGTGTGTGCGATCAACCGTGCATTGCACAAACGGATGCCTTTATCGCATAGTATCTCTCACACATGCGCGCCAGCCCAAGTCGTTGACAGGATCCAATGCCCTGCACACTGGTTGGGGTGCCGGAGGATCGTCGCGTAGGATTACGCTCTGATTACGCACCAAGGATTACACACCAAGGATTACGCACCAGGAGGTGAGATCAGTTTTGTTGAAAGTCAGCGTGGCAGTAACTGCGTCAACATGACAACGTTGACTGTCGGGGTACGAGCTCATTCGGGCCCGGCCAAGCACGCGCTAAGCAACCGAACTGGACAACGTTGGCTCACTGCAGTCGTCGCTCGCTGGAAGCACCTCCACGTACAGAGTGAGGGTATTCGAGCCATGTGGTAATGAGTGGCAGCCCGTAACTTGACACATCCTTGCCCATGTCGGGAGAAAGCGGCTGTCGATCCATATTCGGTGTCCTAGAATTGCCTGCTTTGGGTGTAAGGCAACACCTTATGAGGAGGAATTTTTCACTCCTGTTCCCCATATTTTATGTGAATTTTTCACTCTTGCCTGACATTGTCTAATCGCACATGCCCAAACCCCTATTCCCCTTTCTGAGGTTTTCAGATGTCATCCAAAACCGAGCTCACTTGAACCACCAAGCATAAACGAAGTTCCACAGAACCTGGACACCTATGGCTATGTCCTGCCGCCTCACCTACATCTGAATCAGGCCTATGTATGCAGGGGCGCCAGGTACCTCAGCAAGGGCGCCGGGTACCTCCAAGCTCAAGAACCCCAGCGACGCCAGCCGCTTGCACGCATCAAGTTTGGTTTGGCTTGCACGCATGACTGTCTGCCAGCAGACCATGCAAAAGGTACTGACTTTTTGGTTTTTGGGGAGCAGGAAAAAAAACAGAAAGTCTCCTTTGGACCAAGTAACTGCTTACCTTACCTGCTTCCAACACATGATTGGTAGCCAGAGTTAGCCATTTCTGTTTAATCCGTCGATTTTTGTCATATGACAAATTGTGATGCCACAAGTCATGCAATGGGTTTTCTTTTGTTCCATATTCTTGATTATTTGCCTCCAATTTCTTGAAGTGGTCCCTTATGGCTGCTTCAACCTGATGTTTTCTGTAGCTGTCATGGTTTGCTGACTGGCAAATGACTGTACTGTATATATGCACCATATTTTTAACACAAGGATACTCTAAGTTGCATAGAACTTAAAATCTGAGTTACATATTAGTATGTAACAAATAGTCGAACATCCCATTAAAATGTGAAGCCAGCATCTCACACTCTGTCATCAAATATGAATAAACAAGCCTAAATAAATGCCTTTGCTGCAGCTGAAAAGGCAAGCACAATACTGGCATGGTCATGTAAAAGTTATGTTACTTTTGGAGAAGAGAGATTGTTTTGTGGAGTATACCCATTATTACTCTTGACATAGGTTAACCAAGGTAATCAAAATAAGTTGTTCAAAGTGATTTAAAGTACTTTGATATGTGTGTTGTCAACTTTGATGTCAACAAGCATACACAAATGAACAACAAAAATGTAAGTTGAAAGCAGTAAAAAATCAGCTCTTTCATGCTTTCATCACAAGCGGTGCTGTCAACAGATAGGTGAGTTGAGATGATGTTCAACATATGGGCTACTCTAAGTTAGGCTAAGTTGGTTAAGTGCATGGCAAGTGACAATAGTAATTATGCAAGAATCAGTAATTCACAACTGCTGCTATAGTGCAAATAGGGCAGACAGGATTATATGAAGCAAGGCCTCTTTAGGTTAGGCATAGTAAGGCTACTTTCATGGAAATAAACATTTTTTTTGTAAGAAACAATGACAAAATGTTTGTTTACTCTGACTCTATCTTAACAGGAGCCAGAGGTATGTCTATTGTGTTTGACTTGGTGATTGGCTGATATGTAGAGGTCCAAGATTTTTTGTTGTTTGGGTGTTTTATACTTGTTGAATATTCTGTCGTTATTTTGTTATTGAATTTCTTTGCTTTTTTGTGTTAAAAGCGCTGTGGAAGGGAAGTGCAAAGTGCAAGCCTCAAATTATTGGTGTTAATAATGTGTTATGCTCATCACACTGTCATGAACTTGCTATGCTCTAAAGTATTCTGGATCATTTTAATGGCCTAAGATGTTAAAAAAACAAAACAGTTTGTCAGGTTTCTAATATTACGTCCATGCCAACTTGAAATAGATGCCTTTGTTTGCTGAAGCATCAGTCACAAGCTCATAAGTTCCATCTTCTGTGAACTTTTTTCAATCCTGCACGGTCTTTTTGCGATGGAATTTTTCACTACCACCCTCGTTGAGAAGCGATTCTAGCTCCCTGTCGTTATTTCCTTTTCGCTGCGTCGGTGCTTGTGTCTGCGTGTCTACAGAAGTCTCAGGCGCGTGGCTGCAACATTTCCACTGCGTAACTGCAGTCATTTCCGGGGCTGATCACAGACCTTTCCGATGTTGGGCTGCGAATGTTCCCTTTGTGTAATCACGGCCATTTCCCCTGCGTAGCTGCAGCTCCCCACGATGCAGAACTGTACATGTTTCCGGTGCCTGGGTATGGACTACAGTCGCCATTTTTTAAGCCCGCAGGCCCGCAATGCACGGGCTTAAAAAGCCCGCAGGGCTTGAGGCTGGCATTGCTGCCTATATTGCAGGCATTGGCGGATACTCTACACCTAAGGTTATCTCGCTTATGCCTTTTAGCGACAAAATGCCATCATTATTAACGGCATAGATATCGTCACCTGTTCAAGGAGCTCAAATGCATATCTAAGCATGGCCTTCACCGTCCAAAGGACAGGCTTGGACGAGCTCGAAGTTGCTAGCCACCGTTGAATGAATCATTAGCTGTCCGTGCGCGAGACACGAGGCCATTTG